CGTCAAACTTGTGATTCTCCTATTTCAGCCTCCTCTATAGCCTGGCTTATAGATATAAATCACCATACATGAGGCTTAGACAAATTTATTTATGTTAACAACTTTCTGCAATGTTCGAAACACCTGCAGTCACATGCACTCTTTTCTCTACTGTATCATTCACACAAATACGCTGCTAATTTTCATACATAGAACACATTTAATTCCTTTTCTACAAATATTTGTATGCAATTCTTCTCTTACACATTTTAAACAATCCTTTGGAGACTGGGGCTGTAATTCAGTAGTACAGTGTGTGCTTTGTACACTTCAGCCCTCTGGTTTGATCCTAGCACCAAAAAGGTAATATTTATTGTTCCTTTAACACTGTCTTCTTGAATATACGTGATCGCTTCATAAGAGTCTCGCTTAAGTGGTAGGATGAATCAATAACACTGAGTTCCTTCCCAAGCAATTTATATCTGATAAGAATTAGCAAATTTAAGATGTGTGTGGTGGTGCATGCCTGTAATCCTAGCACTCAGAAGGCCAAGGCAGGAGGATTACCATGAGTTAGAGGCCAGCCTGAGCTGCCTGAACTACACCATGAGACCTGGTCTCAAACAAACAAAAATTAACAGACTTCATATGGAATAGTTCAAACTACATGTGACACAACTGTACAGAATGGAGTAATTCTAACTATGGAGGTAGTAACTGAAAAAGTAGTACATGACTTCACTCTTAACACTTTACTGGATTTCAGTTTATTGACAAAGACCAAACTACCATGAGCTGATCTAGCCAATGTAACATGTCTGTTGGTACACTGTAAAACTGAATTTCAATAGTTTGGACATACACTGCTACTAAACTATAATTATCCTATCTTTTAAGATCCAACTGCAAAAACTGGTACGTGAACTATTTCAAGCTTTATAGCCATCTATATAGCTGTACCTTCCATATCTTTTTGTACATGACTGAGTAATGAATAAGAAATGTGAGGGCTGGGGAGAAAGCTCAGAAGCGTAAGTGCCTGACTGGCAAGTATGCCGTCCTTAGTACAGGACCTTGATTCATGGTTCCAAGAAAAAAGTAAATAAATTTTTTAAAAAGATAAAAATATGAAAGTATATACTAGCTTAAAATTAACCCTTTAATAGGACTACATTTTTTTAAGTTTCTTCACAATTAAATCACACATCTGTAGTGTCTCAAAGTTACAACTGCCTTTGTATACGGTTAAATTTCTTCCAATAACTTCTTCTAGTTATTTATTTTGCTTACTGAATTAAATTAAATTCTAGATTTTAATAAAAGATTATTTTAAGATATAAATCTTCAAAGCCTATTAATAATCCAAAAGCACTAAAAGATTACTTTAAAATGCTTACAAAGTCAGCATTATAGGTCAGAACACTTATACAAATTTTAAAATCTTTCTTTCTTTCTTTCTTGTATTTAGTTCAGGGTCTGCAGGGTCTCATTACATAGATCAGACTCATAGTGATCCTCTTGTTCTCAGCCTCCCAAACAATGGGATTATAGGTGTGCCACCACGTCCAGTCTCAGTCTCACCTCAGTGCACCCTTGGGGGCAGGGCTCACATGGCAGGCTGGGGATGGAACCTTGGTCCCTGCGCCAGCCTAAGCAGTAAATCTGTTATTTCTGAAAATGTCTAGAGAGCACTAGAAATGAATTTCTTCCATATTAATATTCCAAGAATGTAAAAGACTACTAATAAAAATCCCAGACTATTATATTTAAAGTCACTAAGATTAAAAAGGAAAACACTCACAATGCCCATATATAGCTTAAAATCATTCACCTTAATAATTTCCTTAAGTGAAAATTTCCGAGTACTTTGTTTTAAAAGGATTTGATAACTAGGAATTATCTACTACTAAGGTAACTTACACTATGGGGTCATGATGTAATAATAGTGACTTATTCTACCCTCTTACCTTAAACAATAGAAAAACCAAACAAAAAACACGTAACATCAGTTTTCAAATGCTGGGCAAGCAGGACAAAATTTCTAAGAAGAAAAAAACAAATGAGATGAACTTTACAAGTACTTCAATTTACTGCTGAAAGATTCTAGAACTTACTACCAAGCAAAGAAACCCAAACCAGACCAGTGGTCTCACTGAGTGAAGAAGACAACATTCAGAGGCTGTATAGGTCAATGTAACTAGATTGTGTGGGGCAGAATATTGAGCAGACAGAACTGTAAGGAGAAAGAGCACTCCAGAGAGAAGTAAAGTGATCCACTCAAATCTCTGGCAAATAGTGACACACATGTGTACGTGAAGAAACTATCAAAACTAAGGAAATAACCATTGGAAAGTAATTAATAATACCTGGAGCTCATACAAGGCTGGATATAGTTCAGGATACCAGAGTGGAAAAACTTCTAACAGGGCCGGGAGATAGCTCAGTAGAGTAAGTGCTTGCCTGGCAAGTGCAGGGTCCTAAATTCAATCCCCAGTATGGCAAGAAAGAAAGAAAGAAAGAAAGAAAGAAAGAAAGAAAGAAAGAAAGAAAGAAAGAAAGAAAGAAAGAAAGAAACTTCTAACATACAGAGCATCTAAAAAGAGTCCTCAAAAGGGAAGTCAACAAAATTAAGCTTTAACATTTGAAATAAATGAAAATGCCAGACATGGTGGTGCACACCTGTAAGCCCAGTCCTCGAAAGGCTGAAGCTGGAGGATTACTGTAAATTCGAGGCCAGCCTGTGCTATAAAGTGAGTTCAAGTCCAGCCTGAACTACATAGTGAAACCCTATCTCAAAAAAGACCAAAAAATAAACAAATGAAAATAAAGGCACAGTTTATCAAAAGTTGTGAAGTACACCAAAAGTAGCACCTTTAGGAAAATTTGTAACACTAAATAATTCAGGCTGGCCTTGAGCTCCCGTTGTAGCCCACACTGGTCTCCAACTTGCAATGGTCTTCCTGCCTAAGCCTCCCAAGTGCTGGGATTACAGGCATGTGCCACCATTCCTGGCTTTTCAGTGACTGTTTTATCTAAGCAAACTAGAAAAAAAGAAAAACAAATCAAACCCCAAATAAAACAATGAAGGAAATAATCAATAGTAGCCACCTTCCTCATATTAGTCCTTTGGGTATGTATCATTATAGCTACGTGGAGAGAGTTAATGAAGTTGAGTAACCTAGTAGCAATAGAACTACAATGTGTAACCCAGTAGCTCTGTCAAGGCCATGGTCTTTCTATGTCTGCATGCTACTCATTTTCACAAAAGTAGGAGTCAAAACCAGGACTAAATTTTAGGCTTCACTATTCTCTGTCCAGAACTCAGTTTTGATATTGTGTTAATACAATCAGTGTATTATACATGTGTGCTTATTAAAATTACTAACATTCTAGTTTATTATTTTCTTCCTTTTCTTATACACCTAATTTCTCCTATATGGCACAAGCATACTTCACTGGATTGTGCAGTCTACACCATAGTTTAAGGAAAACTGATGTTCCAAATTATTTGACAATGTTAAAGTGATACAATAAGGTGGCGTCCTAGAATACACAGAAAGCTTTATGTTCACAAATCACAAAGGCTTATCAGCGTTGCTTTAGAACAGAAGTTGAAGCACATTCAGCTCTAACTGGTGATGTTTCCAGTCAAACACAGAGCTGACGCAAATGATGTTTCTTTTGTCCAAACACATGGTCTTTCAAATTTAATATAAACACCAAATGACTGATACGAGATTAGTGATACTGAAGATTGACTTCAATGTTATTTCCTGTATTTTGATGATGATACTAAAGGTTAAACAAATTTAGGAAGAAAAAAGTTCAAGCCACTTAAAGAATTACAAGGTATCAAAAAGGAAATTGGAAGCATAAAACTAAAAATTTCATATACACAATCCAGGCAATAATTTTTACTTTTAAGCTTTTATTGCAATCAAGATAGTAATACATTTATTTACTTTTGGAAAAGATTTCTTGTCTTACTCAAAGATTCACTTTCAGATTCCATTACAAACAAAATCCACTCAGCATCTACTCTATGCCAAAAATCACAGTACTTTACCTGCTATGAAAGAAAGTGTTACTAAGTTCAATTTCGGAAAGAAATGGCTAGAGCATAAAAGCGGTGAAACAAAAAATATATCCTGAGTGAAGAAGTAATTAACAATTATAGCAGCTGTGGTCCAAGGTATGTTTCCTTTGGTGCCAAGTGACCACTGGCAGCCCCGCAACCCTAGTCTGACTTCTTCAATGGCTAAAGGACACCCAGAAACTGAGATGAGCTAATTAGCCAGGTAGGAAGATACAAGAAGGAAATGTTATCTTTTTTTTTTTTTTTCCAGAACTGGGGGTTGAACTGAGGCCCTTCTGCTTGCCAGGGAAGCGCTTATTCCACTGAGCTACCTCCCTGGTCCCAAAAACAGGATTTTTTTTTTTTAATACTGGGGATTGAACTTGGGATCTTGCACTTGCCAAGCTGGCACTTACGCCACCAAGCTACATCTCTAGCCCGGGAAATGTATTTCCAGTCGACCTTCTATCATCAAAAACAAAAACATCCTGAAGATGTGTACATTTTTCTCTCCACAGAAGCTTTGCACGCGCGCGCGCGCGCACACACACACACACACACACACACACAGGATGGCAAGGAGAGAACCACTACTGATTATATAAGCATCTATAGAGTAAATCATATATAAATCACATAAAAACTTGTTTTAACAATTCCCTTTCTCAATATTCCAATGTGATATATTGCTCCTAAGAGGTAGACTTAAATATAAGACAATCAGAGAGGAAGAAAATGAAGAGAAAAAAAAAGCTCTGAAAAAAGAAAAGGAAAAACACACTTCTCTCTTTTGCTCTTGATGTTCTGCTATTTTCCACCGCCATGAATATGCTTTAACTTTTTCAAGTGACTATGTATGACTTTTATAATAAATAATATTTTCACTCTATATAAAGAACCACCTTATGAAATACCTTATGTCTTTGTCATATTACTATTTTCTTACCTTTAAACCTTCAGCTGGAGGTCTATAACCAAATTTTGCTGGAAGATCATCAAATGTCTGAGATGCATTTTCAAAATTATACTAAATGTAAAATTGAAAATAATCAGTTAAAACCAATTACATGATATTAAAAACATTAAAAATTAAACTGTTTAAAACATTAAAATGTGCTAAATTAAGGAAAAAGTCATTTTTATAAACCTGATTTATTAATATACCTTATCATAAAAAAGCCAAATTTATAAAAGTGTATCTAGTAAAACTATAAGAACTATACACAAATTATAACATATACCAATGTTCAAATTTGATTTTTGTTTTATGTTATTATCAAACAATGACAATAATTCTGTAACACCAAACAACCTACTGTTTTCTGAGTTTTCCACAGATAATTTCCTAAGCATTTTCTTTTCTTTTTTTTTTTTTTTTTTGGCGGAACCAGGGATTGAACTCAGGCACTTGCGCCTGCCAGGGAAGTGCTTATTCCACTGAGCCATCTCCCCGGCCCCTATCCCTAACCATTTTCTACACGTACTTTTTTCTTTCTTTTTTTTGCAGAAGAGTTCCACTTCATTTTCTCTATTTTAAGGGTTTAATTTAATAAAAAAGATTTACAGGATTTGTCTAGCTATGAAAATGACTTTTTCCCCAGGGAAAACGTAATATCTAAACATACTTTTAAGGGTATACTAATTTTGATACAATTTTTATCCACAGCAGAATAATACAAAGACTAAACTCGATGAAATACATATACAGAGAAAGCTGAAGGTATTTAAAGCCTTTAACAACTTTCCTCTTCCTGTAACTGATTCTTATCCTATAGTACTCATCAGTCTTTTGCTTAAAGCAAACAAAGATAATCTGCACTTTTAGAAGACAATCATAATGACATAATTTTGAGGGGTTCATTGGATCATTTAATAATGTTTCATCTGCAACACAGAAAACAAGAGAAATAAGAGAAATGAAGCCGGGCATGGTGGTGCACTCCTTTAATCCTAGCACTGGGGAGGCTAAAGCAGGAGGATCATTGCAATTTCAAGGCCAGCTGGGGCTAAACAGTATGTTCAAGGCCAGCAGGAACTGCATAGCAAGACCCTGTCTCAAAAAACAAAAAAAAAAGGAAGATTAGTGAAACTAAGCAGACTGTAAACAACTAACTTTTGAAGCACAGATGAAAACTGTGATGTACTAGAACACAAGACAGTGGTGGATAACCTGTAGACTATAAATAGAAAAGCCAAAGCCAAACATTTTTGGAATAGAGACAAAAAAGATAACAAAGCAAGAATACTGCCTAATATTAATTATGACAGACAAAGATACATAGATCAAGTAAACCTTTATTATTCATAAAGCATGAGTTGAGCACCACATTGAGATTAATAGTTGTACTATCCCTTAACACCTACTGGTAAGCCCCATTAGAGCCTCTTATGGCACTTTCAAAAAGTATCAAGATAAAGAACTCCACAATTTAATAATAAGTGTCTTAATCTCTCTTAAGACAGCAAGTCTTTCTGCTTCACCCTCAACCCAGGTCCTGGCAACCATAATGTAAGCAGGAAAAGCTCCACACACTTACACTCAGGATTCAAGTAGTGCAGTTCTCAGATCACATTTAAACACTACATTGTCTTCACATACCCTCTCTTACCTCTGGTTTTCATGGTATGTTTGCAATTAATTCTACAAAGTGTGATTCGGCATCTGAATTTGATCCTGAACAGTCCATTCTCTGATCACCAGCACGGCAACATACTTGAACAGCATCAAGCATATTTGGTGATTGGTTCAGGCTAATTTTTCACTGCAACAATAATTTATATTTACAGTGTACTCTACTGTTTATAAAGTTCTTTGGAATCATCAAGTGATTTTACATCAAATATCAGAATTTATTATTAAATCTCTTATTTTCTCTATTGTTTCAATTGTAGGGGATGGTGGCTCTCAATTGGGTTAATTTTATCCTAGCAAAAGAAGCTCTAGGTTAGCCTTTAATGTGTTAAGACACTGTTACTCCTTTAATACTAACTACCCTACCCTACCTTTGAAACATCTTAAGAGATGAGAAAAACAGAATTACAAAGACTTCTTGAGTCAACCATGGCATGCCATTGTGGTTGCTATTGACATCAAGTAGGTATTTAAGCAGAGACTAAACAAAGGAGGAGGTCAGATGGGTTTCTGATCTATAAGGATAGGTGAAGCGGCCGGACATTTAAGATCTGTAACCCAGAAAGGGTCAGATGGCCGGCTTTATTAATAACTCTGTTTTTTTCCAGCTTATGGTCTGACATGGAAATAATCTCACTGTTTCATAATTAAAGATGATCATCTTCACGTTTAACATGGAAGTTATTTAGCTCCTTCTATTCAAAGATATCACTGTAAAATAGTGATCTAGGTAAGTGGAGACAGACCAAGGAAAAAGTAAAGTGTACAATAAATCTAATGCACTTGAATCATCACAAAACTATTACCCCCTCCCAATTCCTGGAAAAGTTATCTTCCACAAAACTGGTGCCAACAGGGTCAGGGAATGCTGATGTAGACCACTGTTAGTATCATCTTTATTTTATAAACTGACCAAAGAATATTAAAAATAATTTTCTCTAGTAATTTAGCAAGATAAGAAGATTAACTATGAGGCTGGGGAGATAGCTTGGCAGTCTACGTGCCTGCCTGGCAAGTGCAAGGTCTCTAGTTTGATCCCTGGTACTGCATGCCATGCCAGCCCCAGGACCATGCCAGCCCTAGGACCATGCCAGCCACCAAAACCAGGTGTGGTGGTACATGCCTATTAATCCTAGCACTGAAGAGGCTGAAACGGCAGGATCACTACACATCTAAGCTGTGTAGCAAGACCCTTTAGCGAAGGAAGGAAGGAAGGAAGGAAGGAAGGAAGGAAGGAAGGAAGGAAGGCAGGCAGGCAGGCAGGCAGGCAGGCAGGCAGGCAGGCAGGCAGGCAGGCAGGCAGGCAATCCAGCCCCAGAGCTCTGGCTTTTAACCTTACATTGTATTCCATACACTCCAATTTTTAAAAAGAAATTAACCCTAATTTGAGATGCTAAGTAGTCTGACTAAGGCGATACAGTTACACAGTAGTAAAGCTGAAACTTTGACTATAACTCCAATCTACACCACTACCATGAGGTGTTTCTCTGCTGCTCAGCTTCTTGACCTTATAACCACTACCAAGAAACAAATCTCTGACAACGCAGACAATGATATCAAAAAGGCAGATGCAATGCTAACCAAAGCTGAGTTATTTGACTCTATAAAAACAAAGTAAAAATACTGAGGTATACTTCACAATAAAGTCATGGACACAACTTAGTTAACTAGTCACTTAGGGGCCTCTAAATTTTATGGTTGTTTGCTTTGTTTGTAGTACTGGGGAATGAACCCAGAGTCTTTATACTGAGCTACATCTTCAGCCCTTTTATTTTTTAATTTTGAGATAGGATCTTGCATCACTAAGTTACCCAGGCTGGACTCAAACTTGAGATCCTCCTACCTTACGTTCTAATAATGTTGAGATAATAGGCAGGTGTCTGGCTCCCCTGCCAATTCTAAAAATCTATTTTTCTAGATATAAGCCTGTATAAATAACAATCTCACATTTATTGGGGGGGTCAAAGGAAAAAGAAACAATGAAATAAAAGACAAAAAAGACCTAAGGAACAAATGCTATTAGGAAAAAAAAAAATGATAGAACTAAATCTCAAAGGCTACTAACCAGCTCAAAGTTTTTTGATGTCCTATTGCATAATGGATAGTATGTACTAGGAACATAAAAGCTTAGTAAGACATAATCTTGCCTCCCAGTTATTAATAATCTAGAACGGTTGTGGCCCCACCCTTTATGGCAACAGAAACTAGGTTCATGGAAGAGAAGTTTTCTATGGAGTGAGAGGGAGTGGTAGCAGACTTTTCGGATGAGTTAAGCATATGTTCTTTATTGTGCACTTTATTTCTATTAGTTAGCAAATTATAATATGTAATGAAGTAATAATACAACTCATTATAATGCAGAATCATGGGAGCCCTGATCTTGCTCTCCTGCAGCCAGACAGATCTATCTGAGAAAGCTAGGAAACAGTGACACCTGAAGGATGCTGCTTTGGTCCAACATACTCCAATGTACTCCATTATCTCATTTCCATTGCTGTCAAACTGCTTCACAAAAATAAGATGAAGGAAATGGAAGCAGGCCTTTCAGTTCTTTTCTAGCAATCATAGAATAGTCCTTCTTGACTTTAATCTAGACTGTGTAGAAATCTGAGGGTGTTATCAAATATACTTCTAAGGCCTCCATCATTTGCAATCTCAAAATTTTGACACTCTTCAAGCATGGACAAAGCATCACTGTGCCAAAGTTATTTACAAATGGGGCACAGATCCATTCCTTCCCAGTTTGGAGATCTTTTGTACTCAAGAAGTAACTTTCAAACTCTTTTGAAAGCTGAGATACGTGATCATGCACCAGGTGGGAGAAAGGTGGCATTGGCTCAGTCTCTTGCAAAATCTCTGCTAATGTTCGAAACATGTCAAAAATCCCCAAGTTAAGGGGCCGGGGAGATGGCTCAGTAGAATAAGTGCTTCCCTGGCAAGTGCAAGGGTCTGAGTTCAATCCCTGGTTCCGGAGGGGGGAAAAAAAAAGTCCCCATGTTTGGGCCGGCAGATAGCTCAGTGGATTAAACCTCCTACTTAGGCAGATGCAGGGGGGACTGGGATTGGATCCACTGCATGCCAGCTCTGCCCCTAGGGCATGCTGAGACAGAAATTGAGACTGTGCATGGTGGTGCACACCTATAATTGGGAGGGTGAAAACAGGAGAATTACTATGAGTCTGATTTATGTATTGAGACCCTGCAGGCCTTGTACTAAATGCATAAAAAAAAAAAAAAAAAAACATTCTTTACCTTGTAATTCCAATTTGGCTTTGAATGCAGCCACTTTATCTGCAGACTTGAACATAGTTATCAAAAATGAAAGACTGGGTTCACTGAATGGTTTGAAAGAGTGAAACTAGTGAGCAAGTTTTGCAATCCATTCTATCAATGGAATGGGTTGCCAGTGGTGACTATTTTTCTAAAAGAAATCTCCAGTGGGTCTTTTAACTCAAAAACTCTGGCAATCTATATTTAGAAAGTCATCTCATGTCCATGTATAAAAGAAGGCATGTGTACTCTGCATCTATCTCCTCACATAGTTGCATGAATAGATGTTGATGTGCTCAGTAATTTTAATCAAATCCTGCAAAATACTGCTAAGTTCAGGTGACATTTTTCAGCATTTCTCTATGGATAACACAATGTATAAACTCACATTCAGAAGCAAGTTGTTTGACGCAAGTAGTGAAACTAGAAATCTATTCAGTCTGGCAGCTGTTCCATCTGTGCATATACTGATACAAAATGACCAGTTAGGTTTTCCAGATAAGGAATCATTCAAAGGCTTGTACAGTTTGCACCCATGGTACTGGCTGGCAACAAAGTGCACATCACATATGCTCAAAGTGCACACAACATATCTCACACATCCTCCTGAAAAACATATCACTACAACATAGGCATTGTTGCACTGATGCCAGTATCAGTAGAGTTGTCAATGTGGATTGCGTACCATGGTGACTCAGTGATCCTAACCAGTGTGCCTCAACATCTTCTGCAATGTCATCAGTTCATCGAGTTATAGTGCTGGCTAAAAGAACATATGCCACCTTTGAACTGTGGTCCTTTCTAGAAGCTCATGACAAATGTCCTCAGCAGCAAGCAGGGTCAACTCTTTATCAACAAAAGGCTTCTTACTGGTATTAGCAATGAAGCTAACCACTAGGAATGGTGCTGTCAATACAGACACATTTCATCAAGGGGTGGTGGCCTTCAGTATTACTTGTGATCTCTGTGTCATGTTTAAAAAAAAAAAAAAAAAAAAAACCTCCAAACCCTGGTCCTTTCAATGCAGGATATTTGGTCTCCATATGGAGAAAGCTTGAAGGCTTCATGGCTGTGTTGGTTCACTGATCAACATATATTATACAAGCAGGCCTTGAGAATGTGTATCACTGTAGCCATAATCCTATAATTTAAGTGGGATTCTTGGTATTTTCCTTCAAGGGCAGCTTTCTTCTTTTTCGGCAGTATCAGACTTCTGCTCTGACATCATTAGGTCTGTTCCCCTTTTTAAAGAAGTTCTCCAATGGGGGAAAAAAAATGTTTAATTCACTTTAGCTTGTGAGCTTATGAAAATCGACTAACGTGGCTAATCCAGAAAAGGGGCACAGGTCAAAGTAGCTAAATAAAATAACACATGGGCCACAGTGGGGACTAAACTAAGTGTCAGAATCTGACTTAAAGTTTGCCACAAATGCAGTTATACAAGTGAATCATAACTTGCCACTATAAACCCTGCTACTCCTTGAAGCTTAACTGCTACATGAATTTTGATGGATCTACAAACAATAAATTTATTATGGTCTGTGCAGTCAAACCCCTCTGCTAATGTTAATCTGTATTTGCAGCCTCTCCTCAAGGCTAGCATCAATACTTCAAATCCACCTCAGTTCTTCATACATTAGATTCTCATAATGAATATGCAGTCTGGATCCCTACCCTGTACAATTCACATTAAAGTTCCCACACTTATGAAAATCTATTTCTGCTCCTGATTTCACATAAGGTGGAGGGAGCTCAGCAAGTAAAGAAAGCAATAGGGAGTCACTAAATACCACTGAAGCTTTACTTGCTGACCTGCTATTCACCTCCTGCTGTGTGGCCCCGTTCCAGGCAGGCCACAGTAGTGGAGTCTGGGGACTCCTGGCCTAGAGAATATTATTCAATAGTCAGGAGCACACCACAGAACCAGCTCTATAAACTCCTAGAAATCACTGACTAATTGGAAAAATACTGGGAATTAATAAATGGGAGAATTTAATAGCCAACAACAATAACAACAACAACAAAAGTAAACATAGCACACAAATAACACAATAAAAATGAGCTTGTATATTTATTTATTTATTTGTTTGTTCTTTCAATCCCTGGTTCCGAAAAAAAAAAAAAAAAAAAAACTATCAAAAATGGGCAAGTCTCACAGTCACCACACCCCACTTCAGTTTCTGTGGCCAGCAGGGCACACCTGAGGTTCTGGGGTCAGCACAGCATGTAGTAACCAGGGACTGAACCCAGGTCCTTGCACTTACCCAGCAGGTACTTAAACTGCTGAACTATAAAAACTGGCTTGTATTTTCAAAACTGGCATTTTAATTCTAGTCAAAATGAAAACAGAATCAACCTGATACCCAACTGATTTCAGTCTATATTACTATAAACTCAGATTTCAGGATGATGCTTTTACTCAATTAAAAGGAAGAGCTAAACTGTTAAAAGGAAGAGCTAAAATGTTCAACCTCTTGACTCACTTCCAGGAAATCATGCTGTAATGTTAGTTTCTCTGCCTCAGTTTTTAGTTGCTTTATTTATTAATTTCTTTTTGTCTTTTTGAGCAAAGTCTCACTATGCAACTCAGGCTGCCCTTGAGTGCACTTTGTAGCCCAGGCTGGTCTCAAACTCACAAGGATCCTTCTGCCTCAGCCTCCGGAGAGGTGGGATCATACGCATGCACCACCACGCTCCACTAGTTCCTCCTGCATGTTCTCACAAACCACGCTCCTCTGCACCCATGTCAGCTTTCTGTCTTAGTGTCAGCACAGAGAATGGATATGAGCAGCTTCTGTGCTGATGGTCCCTTCATTAGGTGACAGCAACCCAAAGCACACTAATCTGATGAGGCTCAGGGAACACTGCTAGCAAACAGAGCTGACTGCTGCTTTACACAGTACTTAACATTTTATTTTGTCTCCATACTAAGAAACACACGAGTGATTTCATATTTTCTTGAAGAGATGAGTACAAGATAATCAACATAATAATAATGCACATAAAAATGATATATAAGATATTTCCTATATGTCAGATAGTATTCTAAATAGTTGATCTTATTTCACTATCACCACATGCTCTAGTTTATAAATAAAGAAGCTAAGGCATTTAAGAACCAGTCCATACTAGGAAATAAATAAACATAATTGACCAGTTTTGTACTAAAGAGGATAACAGAGGGAGAACTCTCATACAGACTAATAAAACTCTGTGCCTTCCAAAACTATAATATAGAAACTGCTCTCTCAAGTTCCACATCCTGCAATCTGCCAGGAGTGTTCTATACAATGCAGAAGCACATCAAAGGACCACATAAAGCTCTGACCAGCAATAATGTGGTCCTTCCACTTCTTATCTAATATCATGAAGCAAATCAGTTACATCTACACAATAAAAAAATAAATCCTTAGCTCAGACCAGGAGTATAAGGAAGCTGCACACACACAAGCTCTCTCACACACACACACACACACAAACACACACACACACACACACACACACACACATACACACACACAGAGTTAATTCCTCTTTTTGTACCTTCTCAGAACAAGAAATAGGAAATAGATATACTTCTTTTGGCAGAAGAGGTAAGATGTAGTCAAGAGAAAACTACAAGGTTTTGGATTACAATCTTTGTAAGTAAAAACCTTTCACTATTAAACCTAAGACCACAGTACCGTTAATCTGACTCATTAATCCTAATTAAAATTTTCTATGGCCATATTATGGAATTTTTAAATTATTACTACCAATAAATATACTACAGTCATTAGAGAGAGATATGTCATTGTCATTAGAAATATAGTCAGCACTAAGAAAAACAGAAAGATTCTATATAAATATAAAGCGTGGAAGCATCTATAAACGAGCACTTATATGCATGCACACTCTCAAAAGCAGCACTGTTTATCAAGTATTCTTGTGCATGAGATCTTACACTGGATATTAAAAAAATAAAAAAGTGAATAAAGTACCACTGTTTATAGTAATTATGTGTATGTTTTTTGATATGTTTATAGGTAAGTATCTTAGAGGATTCAATTACTAAGGACTTTTTAAAGATGCTCTTTAAAGAATTTTTGACATGAATAAATATTACTGTACTCACCGCTAAAATATCAGCTCCTACAGGTAGTAAGTTTAAGAATGCAAAGAGCTGGACAGTCAAGATGGTGTAGACTTGTGTAGCCGAAAGCATAAGCATCCCTATGGAGAGCAGCATCTCGTTGGAAAGTCACCTGGGAGAGAAGAACATCAATAACAATGAGCAATGGCAGCTTCTTCCCAAGAAGAAGTCACTGGCTACACTGATTCCCCAATGTCAAAAATACCTAAACATTAAAATTAAAATTTATTTCAAAGGCCTAAGAATTTAAATGTATTTGGATATTAGGTAAACATCAAAGGTCAGTCAATGTAAGTACCTACATAAATTGGGAGGGGATTATATGTTATGATGCGTGATGTACATATACAAACTCCCATGATAAATATAATCATATACTGTAAATTTGTACTATAAAAATAAAACTTTTTAAAAAGCATGTAACTCACAGTGACATTAACCTCTGTTTTAACCATAAAGCAAACTATCTGCCATAGTACTCAGAGGAAGAAAAATTTCAATGAAAATGTTTTAAAAACACATGGACACATCTTTACTTTAAATTTAAAACTTTCTATAATTTCTAAAAATATTACCCTCTAGTATTTAATATAAATATACACGTAATTTACATGTGCATAGTAGCTTACATTTATAAAGGTTGAATCCCAAAATACAAAATGATTTGATTCTTGCTTGGTTAACATTCAGTCCTTTCACACCCAAAACCCAAATTTCCCCAAACCTGAAACTTTTTGAGGTTACAGCACTCAAAAAGTTTCTAGTTTCAGACCATTTCAAATTATTGATTTTTTTTTTTTTTATGAATGCTTAACTGGTAAAATCCCTTTGTCTTTGCAAACTTTGTTGCCAACTGTTTGAAAGTATAATACATGACTGACTTTACAAAGGAGCACTGATACTTTAATCACATCATTAAGTATAACCAAGCCACAGGATCAATTTTAACAATGATTACAGCTGATAACTGTTCTGTTGGAAGCTACCATGTAAACTCAAACTTTAAATCTTTGAATCTCATAATGTACACTGTGAATAATTTTTGAATTAACATCCTATATAGTCACTAATATCAGCGATAAATTAAAGGTCAAAATATTTTAATGCACAGATATATTCCACAGAAGCAAAGTATAGATTAGTAGTCAACTGGAGGTCCAGGGAGAAAAGGAGGACAGTTGAGAATGAGGAATAACTGCTAATTGGCACAGGTTTACAGGAAGGATGATAAAATGGTTCTAAAATTAGATTGCAGCTATGGTTGGATACTTCATAAGTATCCTGAAAATTATAGCACTATACACTTTGAATTTTGGGGTGTGTAAACTGTATTGCCATAAAATTGTCTTAAAACTACAGATTTGTTGGCAACAGTTTTTGAAGTAAAGTATATATGATAACAACCTGCTGGGGAGATAGCTCAGCAGCATAAGCATGTGCCCAGCAAGCACAAGGTCCCAAGTTCGATCCCTGGTGCCGAAAAAAAAGAAAAAAGAAAGAA